TGAATGGCTTTGGATGGGTAATGAAAGGTTAAATATCTGCATTATCTGAGAGCAAGGCTCCCACAAGAAAGTGACTTTAAATCACAGGAGAGGAATGACTTTTGTTAAACCATTCAAATCCAGTGTGAGAAACAATGTTGGTTAGCACATAGAGTTCTTTAACATAATCAATAACCTGTAGGAGTTATGCTGCACTGCTTAGAATGCGCTTCTAAGATACTGTGTTAAATTAATGTTGCAATGTTTTCATTGTTAAACATATAAACAAGGTAAAACCCAGGGTAAGTAAACTGACAATGAGACAAAAACCTGTTAGCTTTTCCTTTGGGTAGTCCTCGCTCCCATTTCATATATGTTTTAGTGTACATATTCTATTTGCATAAATGTCTAATTCCACCTAAAAGGGCAGCCAAGATACATCATACTGGCAAGTACTCTCTGCCCAAAAAAGCAACGAGCCCAGGTAATAGTTTCTCATCAATACCTAGAGCTTTTTTGTGTATTAGTACGTCTACATTTGGTTGTGTCATAGCCCTCCCTCTTTAACCCCTTAAGGACACATGACGGAAATATTCCGTCATGATTCCCTTTTATTCCAAAAATTGTGTCCTTCAGGGGTTAAAGAAAAACTTCAGACATCCAAGCACTAAGCCAGCACAGCACAATAGTGTTTGTGGCATCAGGGGTGGCTTGGTGCCCCCTCATTGTATGCAGACAAATAATTTTCAAACAGTTTGACTTCTTACCCGGGGTTGACACTGTTTCCCACTACATGCTAGTGGGAAACAGTGTCAACCCCGGGTAAGAAGTCAAACGAGAGCTGCAAGTTCCTAAGAGGAAACCTTTGTTTGCTCTCCTGAGCTAAACCCTGCAAACCTGATGCTCTCAAACAGTTGTAGAGTCAAGGCATAGCAACTTTACATACATTCTGTAACACAAAACACCCGCCTCACTGTAGAATACGGACAATAGCAATATAACATATTTCTATAAAATAGTTGATACAAATCAGTAAGCATGTTAACTTATAATGTTCTAAAGAATGTATTAAATGGAGACTAGAAAGCACCAAGACTGCAAAGAGACAGTCTTTCATTGTTTCACTTTTAAGGAAATAATAAACCTGTATTATTAACCAATATATTACTTTTGTTTTTAATTTAGTTTAATGCAATATTTTCCAATTGTAAATGAATTATTGTTATTGCGAGAAGCAGTAGTGTCTGTCACTTGGTATTTCTCACTTCATTACCTCAGTCACTAATGCATTAACCCCCTAAGGACCAAACTTCTGGAATAAAAGAGAATCGTGACATGTCACACATTTCGTGTCCTTAAGGGGTTAATGTAAATTGAAAGTTGATTTACAGCTATCATTACATAAAATATTAACTGATTTTAGAAATGCCCAACAAAATGCAGTAGAACAGATAATCAGGTAATTGTCTGAGATATCAGAATTAAAGGAACAGTTTGGGCCCAAAAACAACTTAATCAAAATGGTTGCTCCAGCGCTGGATTGCTACGCCCTCTGTCATTCCACTTTCTCAAATCCTTCAAGGTACATTTTTAAGCTAGTCAGCAGTACCCTGCCCAATGCTGACCAAGACCTGCGTTCTGAAGAATTTCAGAAAGCCGAAGGACAGGGGGCAAAGAGATTGGGCCCTGGAGCACAAACTTGGGGATTGACCGTTTGTGAAATGTAAGGAACTGCCAGCGATCTCCTGGCACCATAACATTTTTTTTTCGATTGAATAGTGCCTAGGGTGTACATTTTCAGATGTTTGCCACTTACAGTTCAAACACAAGGGGCTGCTTACATACTCCATTTTAATAGCAGATCTTCCTCTAAGATATATTGGGGTTCTTAGATTTAGCAAAATAATTATTTTAATGATTGACCATACCAGATGATTTGGAGCAAGGCATCTCAAATTATTTTCACATGAGATAAGTCTTGATACCTGCGTTACACCAGATTTGAATAGCAGTAAAATCTTATGTAATAAATATTTTCTTTTTTACTAGTGTATCACTATTAAATCATTATGTATCACTATTCGATCAAATTTCAATCTGATATTTGAAGTTTCAAAACAGCTGATAATTATTGTTTAATTTGTTTTATCACTATTTACTCAAAACAGAATGGTCCCAAAATTGAAATGTATTTAATACACTAGATACAACAAGAGAATTCCACGTTTTATTGTATAGAATTGAGCTCTTTTGACCACAGGCTGTACCTTGGAGGACCATGACAAGTATACTTTTATTAAAAACTTGCAAAAACTGTTCTTTAAGGCCAAAGCAAATAAACATCAACATTGATAGCTATACTCTATTTTTTTTTCTTTTATCTCTTTGTTATATGATGTGCCAGGTACAATAATTGATTTAGTGACTTGGAGAATATAAATTATATAATCATATAATATAGAGAGAGAGCAGGATAAACCATAAGGTGACCATAGGTGGCTGTCTTTGGCCCATGGGTTAGGAATCTGAATGTGGTCCCATTCACCATTCCTAAGTAAAGAATGAAAAGGGGGGTCTTTATATATATATATATATATATATATATATATATATATATATATTTGTGTTAGGTGCTTAAGATAGTACAGTGTGAAATACCATGAATAAGCGTAGGATGATAAAAGGAGCAAGTCGGTTGTGGTGTGCCGAAACCGACGATGAGGTAGGCCTGAGAAAGAAGAGGGCCCACCCAGGAAAAGAAATAGAAAGGAAATAAATGTTAAAAGTGGTGTGGTGGGAGGGTCATTCAACGCTGACCTCGAACGGTAAGGAGCCTAGAGGTAGCAAACCAGCACCTCCCACAAATGCAGGCAAATTGCCTTAATACTTGTGTTAGGTGCTTAAGATAGTACAGTGTGAAATACCATGAATAAGCGTAGGATGATAAAAGGAGCAAGTCGGTTGTGGTGTGCCGAAACCGACGATGAGGTAGGCCTGAGAAAGAAGAGGGCAAAAATTAAGTAATCAAATTTATTAACAGACAACCAATACATATACATTTATCAACCAGACATGTTTATGAAAGCATCTCTTAATTCTTGTACTGGGTTTGGTATGTACCGTGAGTAAGCGGATGACTTCCAGCGCCCCAGTGTTTTGATAACATGAGTTGGGACGTTGAAACTGGAGGCTGTGGACGCGGCTCCTATACGAAAGGAGTGTCCTGAGTAATTGTTTGCGTTGAGGCCCAGTTGTGTGAGCAAGGACCTGACGTAGGTCATGAAGGTTGTAGTGGTGAGTACTGCACCTTGTAGTTGTAATAACGGTTGCGAGGGCAGTAAGTGATGGTGCTGTATGTAGGCATCAAGAACCTTGACGGGACACCATCTGTTGTGCGTGGGATAGTACGGAATGTTTACAGGTATGTGCTGGCTGGTTTTGGAGTGAGGTAAAGACAGGATGTAATGATCCATATGTTTTGTCAAGTGGGAATAGAGGAGGAATGGAGTGGTTTGGGTCGTGGAGGTCGTAGTGAATTCTCTGGGTCGTAGAAATCCATAGAAAGCGATGTATATTGCTGTTTTGATGATAGAATTCGTATTAGTGTCAAACGGTTTTAGGTCGAGTAGGTTAGATAATGCTTTGAAGATATGGTTATCTATGGGTAGCCTCTGGGCCAAATGTGTGGGTTCTGATTTTTGAATACCTCTGAGTATGGTCTTAATTTGGTGAGAGGCCATGAAACTGTTGTTATTTGGGTGTAAGATGAGCATGTGGTGTTGAATGCCAGTGAGATAGAGTTTGATGGTGTTGTATGACATTTTGAGTTTAAGGTGGCAAAAGGAAGCAAACCCCAAAAAAGATGTCATAACAAATGGTTGTATGATGTTATGTTCCAGAAGGAATCGTTTGAATAGTGTGAAAGCCCTGCTGTATGTTTTGGTTGTATTGTGTGAAAGTGCCAACTGAGACAATGTCCTACTATGCTGCATGATGACGTCTAGTCCAGTATGAGTTGTTGAAATGTTGGAGTGATGGTGGCTGTGGGTGCTGCTGACGGGAGTGCTTGATGAAACTCCTGAAATTTAAAGCGAGACAAACTGTCAGCAGCTGTGTTATATACACCTGGCACATGGAAACAACATAGGAAGAAATTATGACAAGCTGCCAACCAAGTGAGTTTCCTCAGAAATCTCATAATCGTAAGAGATTTGGAACGACCTTTGTTGATGATGTGACAGGTTGCCTGGTTGTCTGAGTAACAACGCACTGGCGTATTAGCCCATAAATGACCCCACGCTACGGCAGCCGCCACTATGGGGTAGATCTCAAAAAGAGCTGAGGTAGTGGAAAAACCTTCCAAATCCAGAACTGCTGAAGGCCAGCTGCCCCAAAGCCATTCGTTCCCAAAAATTGCTGCAAAACCAGTGGTAGATGCCGCATCTGACCAAATGGTAGGAGATGATTCAGTCAATTGAGGGAGGAACATACTTTTACCATTCCAAGTGGTTAAAAACCTCTTCCACATGTTTAGATCTGCCGTAGCTTGGGCATCTAAGGACAACCTGTGCGTGTCATGTAGAAAAAGTGGGAAAAGATGCAATAGTCGTGAAATAAAGGAGCGGCCTTGAGGTATGATGCACATTGCAAAATTAGTGACCCCAGCAGGGACTGTAGTTCTTTGCGGTTGCAAGTGCCGAGCTGTAGGTAGTTGTTTATGTAAGTGAGAATATTTCTATCTTATCGTATGGTAGGCTTGCTTGCATTGTGGCAGAGTCTAATTGGATACCCAGAAAAGTGATAACCGTGTCTGGCCCTTCTGTTTTCTTTGGGGAGATGGGTACACCTAGTTGCTCAAACAGCTTAGTGGTAGCTTTGAGGCTAGTGGGAGGTGCAGTATTCTCCTCGACCAGTAGGAAATCGTCCAAGTAATGTAATACTGTAGGGCATCCGGCTATGTTCAATAGTAACCAGCATAATGGTTCGGCAAATGTGTCGAAAATAGCTGGGCTACTTTTGGACCCAAAAGTTAACCGGGAGAAAAAATAGTAGTTCCCGGACCACTTGATGCCATGCAGGTGCCACAGTGTGGGGTGGATAGGGAGTAATTTGAAGGCGTTTGTAATGTCGGTCTTACTGAGCCAGGCTCCAACCCCTGCTTGTATGATAGCTGTAATGGCGTGATCTATGGTGGTGTATTGCAGAGAGAATTCCTCAGAGGGTATGAGGGAATTAAGACTGGGGTTGGCCGATGAGTGGGGAGCCGATAAGTCAATGATGAGTCTCTGTTTTTGGGAAGATTTCCCTGGGACAATACCAATAGGGTTGGTGCGCCATTCTGTGAATGGAGGAGTTCTAAAAGGCCCCAATACAAAGCCCTCATCCACTTCTTGGTTTATGAGGGTGTCAACCACTGTGGGGTTGTGTTGGGCGGATTGTAGGTTAGGGCATTCCAGATTTCCAGCTGGTATGTGTAGGATACCTGTGTGGAAGCCTTCTGTTAAACCAGAAATAAGAAAATCTACCAGGTGTCTAGATGGGTGCTGAGACATCAATGCTGTGAATACTGGCATATTAATGGACGTAAGGTAAGGCTTAGAATACATTTTATTTGGACACATGGTCTTAGCATGTGCCCTAAAACATTTGAACAGACATGCAATAGTCTACATCCACTGTAATTACAAGACCCAACATTGAAATTATTACATATCTGGGACTTGCCCAGAAACTTGATTGGGCGTCCCAATTTGTCTTTGGATAGTTTCCCTGGATCCCCAGAGGAACTAGTTCCTTGTGTGGAGGCATGTCCGTCTGCCGTGTTGGGACAAAAATTAGTAGTATGGGCTGTGGAGGAGCAGTATGCACAAGCTGGTGTTCTTAGACCTGCAAAGTGTCTGCAAAATAAGACGGTATCAATCCTTCCCCAGTTGGATCGTGTACCGTACTGGGAGAAGGCTCCAGCCACTTTTGCAGAAAAAGACCTATGGTAGTCATAGAATGCTGAACCACAATATTTGTTGCCCAGGTCTACCAGCTTGTGTATATAGAGATCAAACTCCTCTCTTCTGTTGGGATAAACCGCACAGAAGACATCCCTGTAAATACCAAACGCTATTACAAATTCAGGGATAGTCAGTTTCCTGTTCAGGCGGGCATCCCTAGATCTGACAATAACAGAAACATCATCATAAGCATACGTCTTATGTTCCACAATGTCCTGGGAGGCAATCAACAGGGAAGCCAGGTTGACGTCTTTACCTTCCAGGATATCCCTTTTGATATGCTCAGGTATCATGTGGGCCGGGCTAACTTCCTGGTCATCCAGGGTGCTGGCTGGAGCGACTAATGGCAAGGCTGGTGTTTGTACCGCAGCCGCGGGTGGCCCTGCTAGAGTGAGGGCCGTGGTGACCGACTCAAGTTTCTCCAGCCTGGAGTTGACCTTGCCCATGGATGCCATGAGTGAGGATAACATGGCATGTATGTCCCCTGGGTTGGACTGGCTAGATCCTTCCCCGGCTTCCATGTTATTAGTTGATGTGCGTAGCAGTTTGAAAAGTTCTGCCTTCCTTGCTGTAGCGGGGTAGGGGATTTGTCGTCTCCTTAATTCCGTGGTTATGCGCGGGATTGTCCAGGATCTAATTGATGCTGGACTAGCTAGCTCTCCTCCTTGTGTGGGAGTGACAGCTCTAGCCGGGGTGCTAGGCAGGGAGAAATCCTCTACCCCTTCCTGAGACATACTATAAATAAAACAATAATTAGTATATAGAACCACCAAATTGTACTGGCAGGCTAGCTAGGCCGGATGGCGAAAGTATTATACTTGTTTGGTGACAGGTGAGGCCCTGCTAATTGCCAAGCGGCTTGAGAGGCTCTATCTATGCGTTGGCGCGAGGGGTTATTGAGGCCACTTGACGTAGTGGCAGGAGTTTTAGGCCTCTCGGTGACTGTACGACAGAAAACAGGGGAAGGGAGTGACAGGTGAGGCCCTCTCTTTGCAACATGCGAGGCGGCTAGCTAACGTGTGGCCCGATGGGTGTTTGCCTCCGAAACGTTTGAGGCGGGGTGTTGGCCTCGCGGGACCACTAACTAATGGCGACAGCCAAGATGGGGTAAATACCTATTGGGAATCCTGTGACCCTATTGCCAGTACTCTAAACTAGGGGGATGAAATGAAATGTATGGTAGAATACCATATGAGCAGGTGTACGTACCTGGTAGTATGATAAATCACAGGAATAAACCGTGTGGAGCAATTATATAAGCTTGACAGCCTAAAAATGGGTAAGAGAGAGTAGTATGATGAGTGTGGAGTGTTAAAAGAACCAGACTTATAGTCTGTAGCAGCAATGTATAAAATTATGTTGATACCATGGGAATAGCTATGAGTGGCTCAGAAATATTTGCATGCTTGAATAAGACATCTGAGGGAGGCCGGGCCTATGTATAAACAATCTATGTGTTACGTGATAATGGTGTGTAAAGGAAAACATGAAACGCAGGTTATATACATATGTATATGACTGTGCAGGGGACGTATGATTGGTTGGATCAGTACGTGTGATTCAACCTGAGTATGCATGCAAAAGGATTTAAGCCTTATGTGTCATCGTCATGACAGAGAAATGAGGCCTGTAATGTAGGCTGAGTAAATTGAAATGAAATGGATAGTTATAAAACTCCTGGCGTGGGAGTTCAATGATCTGTACCGAAATGTAACTGGTTTTATAGAAAGGGACATGGATGAGGTCATGGCCTAATTAACACAGCGTTATGTATGATATGTAGCAGAATAACCAAAGGCAGGGATACCCCAAAATGATTTAAAATGATGTAAAGTGATGTATATCTATATGATATGTTTGTATAGAAAAGACGTATCAACCCGAGAATTATTGCTTAAATGAACCTATATCCTTTGTATGTGTTGTATTAATAACCCAGAAGTGAGGCTTGTAACATAGACTGAGTCCATTTGTATAAATGGATAAGTAATGCAGACCCCTGAAGCGTGGGAGTCAAATGGTATACACAGAGAAGTGGACTTGATTTGTGGACGTAATACAATACTGACAATATTTAAAAGTAATCAAAAATAATCTATTTAAGCAAGCAATTCTAAAACCAAACGTTATATACACATGAAATGGTGAATATAATTCATGAAAGGATTATACGTGAACACACAGAAAAGCCGAAAGCAAATGTGAGGGGAACACAGAAGTTAGAATAGTTTAACCGTATGATTTATGCGAACCAAAAGCGTGTATGAGCGTATGTAAAATTTGCCGAACGGCAAAACAACCGAATGAAAATTCGTTTCAATAACATGAAATAGGATATGCGAAATGACTATTGAACGCTTTAAATATGTTCAGCCGAATGACCGTACGAATGAAAAGCCCGCGAATGGCTTGAAACATTCGTGTCATAACCAGGGAAAAGCCGTAAAGCGAGGACCCGTGCTGTACCGTACGCCGTGGGAACCAGTCCTGGCGTGACAGGAAGGTCTGACTTACGGTTTAGGAGTCCCTGGGACGCGATCTACGACGGAGAACGGAGTCAGAAGAAGCTGGACGGGCGGAAAGGCCTGAACAGGATTCCTGGACACAGCTTAACGTGGTGAAACCTCCTGGATACTGAAACCAAGATGGCGTCTGAGAGAACCCGGAAGTGGATCCTCATTCAACGCTGACCTCGAACGGTAAGGAGCCAGGCAAGGGGAGTGCCTTAAGTAGGCTAGGGGTAGCAAACCAGCACCTCCCACAAATGCAGGCAAATTGCCTTAATACATATATTAGGCTTGGCAATCCTCCAAAAATAAATTAACATAACATATAAAAAATTGCCTGAGTGCTACAATATATGTATTAAGGCAATTTGCCTGCATTTGTGGGAGGTGCTGGTTTGCTACCCCTAGCCTACTTAAGGCACTCCCCTTGCTACCCCTAGCCTATTTAAGGTCACTGTAAACAAAGGGTGCACTCACAGGTCTTTTCAATCTTCAATCTTTTATTTTAAAGTAATATTCCAAATCAACTGTGCATATCAATCAACGTTCCAGCACATTCAAGCCTTTTAAAGATCTTTATCTGTATATATATTTGCAGTCTGAAGCTAAAACCACTGAGCCTCACTCCCCTCCTGGCTGCTGACATCTGAATCATGCTTTGAGCAGTCTCGGCACATACATAGCATATACTTTTGGATCTCACTAGTTGTGCTTCAATTCACATTCAGATACTTACAGGCATGTTTTATTTATTTTATTTTCATGGCATATTAATATACTTTGCTGGTTCCTGATGTTTTCATTAAAGTCAGAGGAGATGCGGGGACTTGTTTCTCAGTTGTCTTATATCATGATACTTTGCATTTGGGTCTATTATTGTTTACAAATACACTCTAATTTGATACTATGTCAGGCCGCTTTTTCACTCTCTATCTATCTGTCTTTCCTCTCTCTCTCTTCTTCGACCCTTTGCCTCTCACAATGATTATCTCCGTTGTTCATAAGGACTTACTACTAAGGCCTTCTTCTGCTACATTAAAGGACCACTATAGGCACCCAGACCACTTCAGCTTAATTACCCTAGGATTAACCCTTCCTGCTGTAAACATAGCAGTTTCAGAGAAACTGCTATGTTTACTTTAGGGTTAAGTCTAGTGGATGTCTCATTGACAGCCGCTAGAGGTGCTTCCGCGCTTCTCACTGTGATTTTCACAGTGAGAAGATGCCAGCGTCCATAGGAAAGCATGCGCATTCAGCCAATTACGGGGAAAGGAGGAGGAGAGTCTCCAGCACCAAGGGAGCCTGGCGAAAGAAAAAGGTAAGTGTTTAACCCCTTCCTCTCCATCCAGTCCGGCGGGAGTAGGACCTTGAGGGTGGGGGCACCCTCAGGGCACTATAGTGCCAGGAAAACGAGTATGTTTTCCGGGCATTATAGTGGCCCCTTAAGAGGTTGTACATTCTATCAAGGGTCCTGTCTATTTTTCATTGGTGTAGCTCTTCTATTTTGGTTTATTTGTATGTTCAATATGCACTTTACTAAAATCTTGATACGTATTATGGTTATTGTAGCTGACATCCCTGTATCCTGATTGGGTACCTCCACCAGGATCGCTTCCTGGTGCAACCGGGAAAACTGAAGCGCTACTGCCGCAGTCGCCGCAGCTTAACTGAGGTCCTTCTGGAGCTTTTCCACCTGAACAGGCTGCAGTTCTCTTTCCAGGCAGGTTTCATTCCCTCTGCCTATTCTTCTGCAACCCTTCTACCTGGTAGGTATCAACTTCTAGGGAAAGACACACAAAAT